TTGAATTTCCGGTTGACTGATTTTATTTCTCGAATTAAGTATTCTTTTCGTGACTACCAGTAAATCAGTAATATGTGATGTTTTCACCTAATTTCGTTTAAGCTGATGAAGGTCTGGTTGAAGAAGAATTTTCCCACAATGATCTGATTTGAGCTGACGTTCCCATTGAATTTCCGGTTGACTGATTTTATTTCTCAAATTAAGTATTCTTTTCGTGACTACCAGTAAATCAGTCATATGTGATGTTTTCACCTAATTTCGTTTAAGGTGATGAAGGACTGGTAGAAGAAGAATTTTCCCACAATGATATGATTTGAGCTGACGTTTCCATTGAATTTCACATAGCCTTGCTTTCCCAAAAGTTGTTATCATCCCGACTAGAATGGACTGCAGTTTCGACGTAGCATAGGTCTTATCAACACCCTCAACGGGAGTCGAACCGCGACAGTGCACGATGGGAGCTTGACACGCTAACCACTCAGCCACATTGTCACGAGTGTCATTATGTCATAGGGCCTTTTTGCCATATCATATTCCTTTGGTGGGATTGTCGATGAAGTAAACCTATGTTCTGCTATAACAATCGACTACTATAGTTTATTTTTCGAATTAAGTAGTGTTTTCGTGACAACCAGTAAATCAGTCACCTCAACTCATAGCGTTGTGGCAAAATTCTCCTTCTACCAGTCCTTCATCACCTTAAACGAAATTTGGTGAAAACATCTCATACTACTGATTTACTGGTAGTCACGAAAACAATACTGAATTCGAAAAATAAAACGAGATCAGACATCTTCTATATAACGAAATGAGACTGGCCAAAATAGGGACCACAACATTTTGGTGTTCATATCTACGAGTACCCACATTCGCTTGTGTATATTCACCTATTTTGATGCGCTTCAAGTGCATATTGCAGTCTATGAATGGGGAGGAGTTGAAGCGTTTCTGGATGCTAGTTGTGGGGAGGTGGGAGAATTTGGTCGTATTAAAAGTTCTAAACGTGACTAATCCTCACGCATATGACCATTTATTTTGTAAATCCAGTTTGCCTCCCTTCAACGGTAGCACGTGGTCAGCTTTATTTGTCCTCAACTTTCTTACAGCCGTCGTTTGAGGTAGCTCTACACCACAGCAACTACATCAGGCATACATTCTCCACTGTCTGTCTTTTTTGATCCATTCCTCAACCGGATGCAGGCCATGATCCATTTACAGATGGTTACTTATTAGCTGGTTTAAGTGGTTACCTTCAAGTGACGTAAGTTTTAGGTCTACAGTAGAAATATGAAGAGAAACTGGGCTTATGAGAATACCATAGAATAGTAAATTCCTAGTTTTGTATCCTTCATCTTGTTTGAAAGGGCACATGTCAAGGACAAGTGAATTGGCCACACCCTAAACCGAAAGAGGACTGCCTCGAAAGTTTAGCTGTCGTTTTGTGCCAATTAGTTCGCTCCACAATGCCCCTTCTCTCAGCTTAGATGAATCCGTATTTAATGTTCATTCGTCCTTTGACCAGAAAGGTATTTTGGTGAATTTTATTTGATGCTGCTTTCTGAATCTGGCGATGTCTGCCATGGCGGTAGAGATGAAAGCCCAGCACCGATATGCAAGTCATTGTGATTAAGACTTCTCCATACAAATCCAGTTACAACCCTTTTGCTTTCCGGTGAGATCATTCTACGAATCTATTCCATTTGCCGTTTTAAATAAAACGAAACATACAGAAATATGAACTAAGTTTAAGGAGCGGCAGATCCACGCATCGGTTAAATTGCTCGCGGAAGTTACTCCATCACAAACAGGCAATGTGGCCCATTGTCATTTCTGCTGGAGCGTCTATTCGAGCGGCTCGTCAACGCCATCAGCCGGATTCGAACCGTTGTTATGCTGGTTCTGTGTAATGGAACTCAAATAGGCTCACGTGGCCTAGGGGGCGACGTTTTGAAACCGATGGGGTCGAAATTCTACTCGTATTCTGATGAGAATTACCATTTTGCAGGCCTATTGCGGCCAAGTTAACGGCACAATCACACTAAGGTGTGATTGTCTTCAATTCACTGTGGGCGGAAGCGCCCTCAATTGCTATAAAATATAGAAAATGGTGCGTAATTACGGCAATTCGATTGGCACGGGGTCTTCCCCATCATGATATTTTCACATTTGTAAGCTAACTGTTTTTGCAGACTACTACTCTCCGGTTTATCAGTAGACTTACTGATTTGCATCTCCTAGCGACGAAGAGCACCTGCAATCTATGACGCATATGGATCTTCTCCAATCCACAAATTAGCTCTGCTCACTAGTAAGTCTTGAAATTATCAGGTACAAAATCTTGAGAGACTGCCCATAGAGGCCTTGGGAAATTAGGCTCTTGGCC